CTTATAAGCCTGCTCAGGCATATTGTAAAGCCGCTGAAAAAGTAACTTGGAGCAAGTTTTGTGAATGGAAATGTAGTGCTCAAGTCACATTCTGCTTTAAAAAATTGTAACAAATACAGATGACTTAAAAAAAAAAAAAAAAGACTGAACATATACAATTTTATCAAAGATATAAGGTAACCACAACTGGTATAGGCTGCTGATAAAAACATGAAATGTTACAACTTTGGAGAACAATTTGGTATTTTTAAAAAGTATTAGACATACACTGACTGTGAGATTCAGCTGTTCCAACCCTAGATACTGGCACCAAAGAAATGAAAACTATGTGTCCAAACAAAGACTTGTGCATGAATGTCCAGGACAGCAGTATTTGTAACAGCCAAAAACTGGAGACAACTAAAACATGTATCAATGGGTGAACCGATAAACAAATTCTTGTACATCCATATAATAGATGTCTATTCAGTAAATAGGGGATAAACTACTGACACACAAACAACATGAGTGAATCTTCATATTATTACACTATGTAAAAGAAGCATAAGAAAACGTTTTGGGATAATAGATATATATATTATTTTGATTTGAAGATGGCTTCCTGGTGAAATATGTCTTTAAAGTCAAACATGGAAGTTTGAATGTTAGCCTTACTCTTACAATGTAACCTTACAAAAGGTACTTACTTATTTGAGTCTCATCTATATTTGTATGTTATGTGAGAATAAGAACATTCATATCAAAGGCTTGTCTTATTAAGCATGATATCACATATAAGTAACCAGCACAGTACTTGTTAGTCGACTCTGTGTTACTCTATGGGCTATAGCCCACCAGGCTCACTGTCCATGGGATTCTTCAGGCAAGAACACTGGAGTGGGTAGCCATTCCCCTCTCCAGGGGATCTTCCCAACCCAAGGATCAAACCTGGGCAGCATAATACTTGGCACCATATGAATGTTCACTTCCATATGTGTATTTTTTTTTTCCTATTCGTTTGTACCATGTCTCCCCTTCTGCAGTGGCTAAGATGCTAAAGAATGTGCCTGCAATGCAGGGGACCCAGGTTCAAACCCCGGGTTGGGAAAAGCCCCCGGAGAAGGAAATGGCACCCACTCCAGTATTCTTGAGTGGAGAATTCCATGGACAGAGGAGCCCAGTGGTGGGCTACAGTCCATGGGGTCGCAAAAAATCGGACAGGACTGAACAACCTTCACTTTCCCCTTCTGTAAAATATATCTCCTTAGCACTAGTATTTTTCTACCACAGGATGTCTGTCCTCTCCCTCTTGGGACAAAAGAGAAAATACGCTATGCTATTTTAGAACTTTTACTCTTTTTAAATTAATATGTTATTCATTCTGTATTACTTTAATTTTGCCTTGGATTGTGAGCTGTTAATCAGGCTCTTCATTTATGGCCTACTTGGTAGCTGCTGTCCCTGCAAGGTCCTTTCCTTGCATTTTTTATTCATTTTATCCCTTAATTTCCCATTTTATCCCTAAATCCAGTCCCATTTCCCCCTCCTAATTAGGCACTCTTCCTGCATTTAATATGTCTTTGAATATGCATGTACATACATATGTATGTGTACATGTAATATATACATGTGTATGTGTTTTAATACATATTTTAATGGCATTGTCTATAACTTTTATTTTCCCTTTTATGCTGTATTGTAAGGATTTATCCTGGTTCTATACACATCAGTAAGTTGCTTCTGATTGAGAGCATTGTATTCCATACTATGTATTTATCAAAATTAACTCATGTACTCCCTTAGAGAAGGATACCTGGGAGACCAACTTCCTGCTACTGCAAACAATATTGAAATAAGTATATTTTTAAAATATTTCATGTTTCTGATACTATTTGTTAAAGTATTTATTTGGCTGCACTGGGTCATAGTTGTGGCACGTGGGATCTAGTTCCCTGACCAGGGATTGAACCCAGGCCCCCTGCATTGGGAGGGCAGAGTCTCAGCCACTAGATCGCCAGGGAAGTCCCTGAAATAAATACCTTAACACTTGTCTCCCTGTGGACCTACAAAGGAAGTTCTCTGAGTCACAGATGTGAAAGGTGGAACAGCTGGGCCATAGGACAAATAATTAATTTTACTATCTCAGTACTTTGAGACTGCTTTCCAAACTGGCTGAATTAACGATCTTACAAATTCTCAGCAATATAATAAATAGATCTCATTTTTATTTCTCAGATATTAGTAAGCTTGAGCATCACTTTCCATTCTTATTAGCTGCTCAGCTCTTCTCTTTGTAGAGCACATTCTTATTCTTTGTTCATTTTTATATTGAGCTTCTCATATTTTATTTGTTGATTTGTAGTTCCTAGAATGTTTCTATATTAATGTCATTAATTTTACCATTGCTAAAAGCTATGCCGTCCTGTCACTGCCTGTTAGCTTTGTTTAAGGTGTTGTTCACTGACTAGAAATTCTTCATTTTAACATAGCCATAGTCATCATTTCTTAACCTAATTAAAAATTCTTTCGGGGTTATGTTTAAAGAGAACAGCCCCTTACCTACATTTTGCTCTATTAGCTCTGCAGTTTTTCCTTTAAACCCTCTTTAATCTACCTAGAGTCCAACTTTTTCTACAGTGCAATGTATTATAGAAATTTGTCTTTTTTTCCATATCACCGATACCATCTGCTGAAGAGTTGATCTTTTCTCCATTATATAAAGTGATGTTTCTCTATCATACATCACTCACTTTTTTATATATATAAAAAGAAGAATGCTCTTGGAAGAGTGATGATCCAGATGAGATGGGCAAGAAAAATATTCCTGGCCATCCATCTCCGGGAGGATAACGATGACTGCTCACTCTGGAGTCAACCTTCTGAAGCCACATGCAGACAGTAAACCCTGAACTCATGCAGAGGCTCTAAGTGGATTTTTAAAAATCAAGAATAAAGAAAGAAATAGTCTAATTAGGTCCAGTGCTTCAGATATTGTGAATTCCTGCAATTCCTTCAAGGCTTAGTAGCAGAATAATGTGTCTCCGTGTCACGTTGCATGTGATGTTTTTACTGTCATAACTATGCTATACATTGCATTATAATTATCCTTCTGTAGTAGCTATTTATACCTGTTACACAAAACTTTCCAATTTTCCCAAAGCTTTCTGAAATTTATGGGATGATTCAAGGTACTTGACACAATATAGTATTTAACTGGTAAATTTTTTTGTAAGCAAGGAAAAATCTTGCCCCAAACAGGTTTGATTTATGGCTTACTCCAGTATTCTATACATAGTAAGTCCTCAAAAAAAATGTCCTTGGCTGATTATCTGGCTGAGTGCCCACATATTTACTGGGTTGGAATTTATATGCAGAAGGAAATCTTCTTTCATGAAAGTCATGATCTATCTTGCCTTTTGTTAGTAGGGAAAAACAGCAGAGACTTCAAGGACTATTACATTGTGTAAAATTTAACTCCATGCAGTTATTCATGGAATCCTTCCCAGGGACCATACAGCATTCTTATGTGCTTAAATAAATATTTCTGCCTTTACCCTTGGATTTTGATAGAAATTATTTTGGGCTCTTATTATTCATTTACATTGCCCCATGATGCTAAACAACAAATAGAAAATGAAATCAACCAAGCCGGTATTTCCCTTAGAAACTGGGAGCAGATAGTATTATGAGTTGGAGTCCTAACTAAGGTTTGGTAATGGCTAGCACCAGTACTAACTATGTTTTCCATGCCTATAGATGTACCTGAAATTTAAGAGCAGATCAAACTCACTCATCTAACAAGTGTTCATTACATTCAGAGATTTCTTGAGAGTGTCATGTCAGACTTGGTGAATCACTAAATCTATAGAATGGAGTTCAGAGTTTCTCTTTTTGTTTGGATCTTGGTGAAACACATGTAATAGCTCACCATTACAGAACAAAAATTGTTACTTATGATTTCCAATTCACACAGCTGATAGATTACATGATAACATTTCCTGGCAGACGATGATCTTCTATGTGTTCCATTGTGATGCTCCAGTAACATCCTACTGTTGCAAAACAGATTGTTTAAAACTTTTTAAAGTATAATAAGGAGTTTCACTAGTGGCTCAGTGGTAAAGAACCTGCCTACCAATGCAGGACAATAGTCAGAAACGACTTAGCGCCTGAACAATAACAACAAAAGTATAACAGAACATGAATTTTGATAATATCATGTGAACCCCATCCTCCCACCCCATTTATTTCTGAGGACAACTCTGAGGACACTAGAGAAGTGAAGAGAGTTTCAGACAAGGGCAGGTAACTACAAGCTCTTGTGATTTCACAACAACTCAGACCAACTCAGGAATCAATACAAACAACATACATGTTGTTTGAGACCTCAGTTTTGGCTAATGTAAATCTAGGTAGGATGGCTGTAAAAACACCAACATGTTTTGAGGCTGGCAACACAAACGTTAATGCAAATGTGAAACAAGTAATCAACTTCAGTTGTGTTCATGGCAAAAGATATACCATGTCCTCCACAACTTAAGTTTTTCTACTGATATTTTACTGGGACATGGGTATCTTTGGGACAATGCTCCTTGCTTTCACACTATTTTGAGTATTTCCAAAATTCTTATCAGTGACACTGAAAATTCTATTTTAATATTCTAGACAAAACATCCAAAGTTAAAATAGGAAAAACTTAAGTAAGCTCTAAATGTCCTAATCATATGTGATTTTTATTAAAATAACTTATAAATTCTCCATGTTATATATTTAATGATTTATTTCAATATATTCTATTATTTTTACTTATCAATCATGTATTTTCAGTGTCATCAAAAAGCAAAGTTGAAGTTTCTACCCAGCAGAAAACATTTTGAGGGAAACATTTTACTAAACTATAAAATACTAGAGTGTTCCAATCTATTTTTCATAATCACTGCTAATAACGTGATAGAGACATTACCAATCCTGCTAGCAGATTTTTAAAAACTAATTAAACACATTAGAAGCAGTAGAAAACAGTCATTTATTCATTGCTACAAAAGGATACACAAATTAGACTCTATGCAACTAAAAGCATGGTTCTTTTATAAAATATTTATATATGAACTTTTAAACCAATTTATGGAGGTAATAGGTTTCATTTGCTATAGAAGAATAAATGAGAACGTGAATTAAGAAAAGTATCACAAAAGTCAACTACAATCAAACTAAAAATTAAAGATTAGTTTTGCAAAATAAGCAGTTGGCAGCAGAGTGTTCTTACAAGTGAATGTTCAGATTCTTTTTTTTTTTTGTGAATGTTGAATAAAACAATAATCTGGCTAAGTTAAGAATTCAGAACTATATTCATAATGAAATTGTCGTGCTGTCCATTTCTGCTCTTCTCACACTGGTACAAAAATGAGTAGGAAAGTGTGCACGTAATTACTTATTTAAGTCAAATAACTTATTCAATAGCTGCAGGGATAAACTACATTAACATGTATCATCATAACATAAGGGAGTGCAGTGAAAATGCTAGTATTCAATGTCTCCTTAAGCTTTATTTCATATTGGTGTTTAAATGATTAGTCTTAGTTCTCATGTAAACGTACACCTTTCCTTGCTGAGAATTAAGTTTCTCTGGGTTTTAGTTTTTACGACTTTCCTATGAAATCAATCAGGTTGGTATTATTCCCATTTCACAGATGTGGGTTCAACCCACCACCCCCATGGGCTATATATCCCACCATCATGTGGAAGTTTGGGGGGCAAAGACCATGATTTACCCTCAAATAACTTCAACCAGAATCAAGGGAACTGCTTTCTCTCCTATCAAATTTCCTCTACCTAGATTCTTCTTCATTTGGTGAGGCCTTCCTCCTTTACTAGGTTTAATTCAGAAACCACCTCTACTCTGAAATAGATTTCACTGAAATCTACTGAATCATTCTTGTTTCATTCCTCACAGTACTGTCTCCTCAAAGCTTTAGTGAACATTGAGCACAATGTGTTTACAAAATGCACATCAATGTGTTTACAAAACACACAACTCTTCCTTCCTGCAGGTCTTAAGTCATTTTTGTATCTCCCTCACAGAGCTTGGGAAAGGGTCAGCATGAAGCAGCTTTTCCCTACAGACAAGACAACAGATAAGAAAAACTGTAACTGCGCTTGAAGTAGTAAATATAGGTATGTTAAAGAGTGATTTTTAAATGTAAAAGAGGAAAAGAATTGGCCTAAATACAACCACTACAACAGTGCAGTTCAAGACACAAGTGAATGTAATTAGAAGCATAAGAAGTCATTCCTGAATAACAAAAGGCTTTTTGTTTAAGTAAACAATTTTCTTATATGTACTTTTTAAGATAGGAAGAAAGGCAGGAAAGATTTTATGGAGAATAGAGGTTCCTGCCAGAGAAAGAATTGCAGTGGTACTAGGCAACTCAGCTATTCTCTCCAAAAAGAGTCTTTAAGACAGCCTACCTTTTAATATATCTCTGGTGAGGGTGAAAACGGTTGTTAAAAATATCAACAAAGAAATATTCTTAGAGTCCCTACCTCACACCAAATACTTGCCAAAAATTTCATAGATTATCACATTTTCCTAATATGAGTTAGATTTCATGATCCCCATTTTATAGGAAGAGAAACTGAAGATCAGAACAATTAAACGAGTTGCTAAGGTTGCAAACGTAGTGTGGAGCATGGAGCCAACCAAATTTTGGGACTCTTCCTATGAAACCCTACAACCCTCTCTCTCGGTGTTTGGGAATATTGTTACTCACCAACTGCATTATGTGAACATGATGCCCATTTAAAGGCATTCAGGCTGTTTCACATTTGCTAAACTGTAACTTGAGGATGCCTTTCATGTGAAGCTGGAGAATTTGTTTATACTCTTTGGGCATCTCGTGGAAACCGCGTTTAGGTAACTCATTGTCGTAGTAGTGATGGCTGACAGGCATGTTCTCTCCAGTTTTAGAGAAGGGCCAGAATCCATACAGCTTCACATTCTCACACAGCTCGACTGCCACGCTTGTGATCATCAAGCCGGAGGACAGGCGATATTCGGTCACACCTTTAGTCCTCCAGAAGAGTGCAAGGTTTTTCAGGTACTTGGGATGGAAAAATAAAACCTTTTGTCTTGCTTTAGACTCCTTCAGTGTGTGGTATACCTTAAAAGAGGCCGCAGTATTGGCCCTGAAGGAAAACGCAGGCAGAAGGACGAAAGCATCTCCATAGGCTGCAACGTCCTCCAGAAATACTGCTTTCTTTTCCTTTAAGTTCCCGTATCTGCCAAATTTTTAAAACATTGTGATTTTAACAATAATCATCAAAGGAACAGTTTGGGTAACATGAAGCTGGATTCACCACTGACCAAAAAACAAAACCAGTTATGTCACTGTATATAAAAGAGACAAACAGAAGATTCAGAGAAATTAGGGTTAAGTAAGCATCCTGTATAATAAATATCAAGGGTTAGGTCTCCATTTCTTTCTTGGCATATCTATTCTTTCATTTCTACCTTCTTACAGAGCAATATCCTTGCTGGACATACATTTTTAAAAATTATTTTATCTTCAAACTCAGAAATTTTTTCCTGAGGTTGCTTTTTAATACTGAAACACCTTCCAAATGTATCATACTGACACATTTTCTCAAACATAGCACACTCTTAAATTATCTGTACATTTAAAAAAATTCATTGAGCTGTATGCAAGTGTACATATTATTATAAAATAACAATTTCCTTTAGAACAGCAGTCCCCAACCTTTTTGGCACCAGGGACTGGTTTCACAGAAGATAATTTTTCTATGAACTGGGAGGTGGGGGTGGTTTGGGGATGATTCAAGGGCAGTATCTTTATTGTGTACTTTATTTCTATTATTATTTTATCAGTTCCACCTCAGGTCATTAGGCATTAGATCCCAGAGGCTGGGGATCTCTGCTTTAGAAAACCTAAAATATCTATATGCATACACACACACACATATGCATCTTAAATTTCCTCCATGGACCGTGATATGTGCTAAATTTAAATAATGCCTCAGTAAATACACTGGTATACCTAAGTGCATGTGTTTAGAAAATAAACTCTGGGGAGACAGGTACAATTTTATATTCTCTTAAGCCATACTAGAACTATTTGAGGGATATGTTCTACTATTAACAATTATTAATCACTTTGGATGAAAACAACTGAATAAAACTAAGTATGGGATTTTGGGGCTTCCTTGGGGGCTCAGACAGTAAAGAATCTGCCTGCAATGCAGGAGACCAGGGTTTGACCCCTGGATCAGAAACATCCCCTGAAGAAGAGAATGGCTACCCACTCCAGTATTCTTGTCTGGAGAATCCCATGGACAGAGGAGTGTGGCAGGCTACAGTCCACGGGGTCACAAAGAATTGGACACAACTGAGATACTAACACTTTCACTTTTAAAGGGATTTTTATTAAACAGCCAATATTTCATAGTAGTGACATTGTGGAAAACAAAATATGGGAATTATTTTTTAGTGATAAACTGCCCAAAGTGCCCTGACAATTTTGTCAGGTTCTTCTAAGGCTTACTCTCTGAAGCTTCTAAGTAGACTAAGTTTTTTCAAGAAAGTTTTATCAAGACAAAACAGTAACATTAAAATTCTGAAGGGAAATAATTTTTTATAAACTTCAGTACTGGTGCAAAACATGAAGAGATAAGTAAGTTCTGTTTTGATTAGCAACCCTTGACTTATGACATTAGAAGTACAACTGGACATACTTCTTATGAGCCACAACCTAAATTACTAATATATTCTTATGTATTTTCCTTACAAAGCCATTCCAGTCAGTCTCAGCAGCAAGATTAGGGCTCAGACAGTTTAAATAATAAAACAGGTTAAATAATAAAAAAGTGGTCTTGAAACAGTTATGTAACTTGGAGGGACTTACCTTAGGTTTATAATACTGGGATTTAGAGTCACCAGGTTGGTTTTAGTGCCAACATCATTGGTAACATTTCCTGTGGTTGGGGGGAGATTACACCTGAAATTTGGAAGACAAAATATTCTCAAAATATAACTTTCAAAAAAAAGTACATCCACACATATGCATGTGACCATTCTCATTTTATTGAAGAAAATTACTGCTGTAAAGAGTCTCAGAATTCATCTGATTTCCATCGAAAATATTTAATAAGTACAGAATTCAGACACGGGTTTGATCCCTGGGTTGGGAAGACCCCTTGGAGAAGGAAATGGCAACCCACTCCAATATTCTTGCTGGAAAATCCTATACCCTGGCAGGCTATAGTCTATGGGGTTGCAAAAGAGTCAGACATGACTTAGTGACTATACAACAACAGCAACAAACTCTTAGTTGGCATTTCAATATTGGATAAAACATAAGAATCTGATAAATGCTTTCCGTGACAGAACTAGAAGTGACAATTACACCTTGCCTAGCATTTGAAGAGTTCAGAATCCTTTTTTAAAAATTATTTGTATTAATTAGATTCCCATGGTGGTCAGTTCAGTTCAGTTACTCAATCGTGTCCAACTCTGTGACCCCATGGACCACAGCACGCCAGGCTTCCCTGTGCATCACCAACTCCTGAAGCTTGCTCAAACTCTTGTCCATCGAGTCAGTGATGCCATCCAACCATCTCATCTTCTGTTGTCCCCTTCTCCTGCCTTCAATCTTTCCCAGCATCAGAGTCTTTTCCAATGAGTCAGTTCTTTGCATCAGGTAGCCAAAGTATTGGAGCTTCAGCTTCAGCATCAGTCCTTCTAATGAATACACAGGACTGATTTCCTTTAGCATTGACTGGTTTGATCTCCTTGCGGCCCAAAGGACTCTCAAAAGTCTTCTCCAACACCACAGTTCAAAAGCATCAATTCTTCGGCACTCAGCTTTCTTTATGGTCCAGCTCTTACATCCATACATGACTACTAGAAAAACCATTAACTTTGACTAGATGGACCTTTGTTTTCAAAGTAATGTCTCTGCTTTTTAATATGCTGTCTAGGTTGGTCATACCTTTTCTTCCAAGGACCAAGCATCTTTTAATTTCATGGCTGCAGTTACCATCTGCAGTGATTTTGGAGCCCAAGAAAATAAAGTCTCTCACTGTTTCCACTGATACCTATCTATTTGCCATAAAGTGAGGGGACTGGATGCCATGATCTTAGTTTTTTGAATGCTGAGTTTTAAGCCAGCTTTTTCACTCTCCTTTTTCACTTTCATCAAGAGACTCCTCAGTCCCTCTTCACTTTCTGCCATCAGGGTGGTGGCATCTGCATATCTGAATTTATTGACATTTCTCCCGGCAATCTTGATTCCAGCTTTTGCTTCATCCAGCCTGGCATTGTGCATGATGTACTCTGCACATAAGTTAAATAAACAGGTTGACAATATACAGCCTTTACATACTCCTTTCCCAATTTGGAACCAGTTTATTGTTCCATGTCTATTTCTAACTGTTGCTTCTTGACCTGTATACAGATTTCTCAGGAGGCAGGTAAGGTGGTCTGGTATCCCCACATCTTTAAGAATTTTTCACAGTTTGTTGTGATTCATACAGTTTGCGTAGTCAATAAAGCAGAAGTAGATGTTTTCCTGGAACTCTCTTGCTTTTTCAATAACCCAACAGAGGTTGGCAATTTGATCTCTGGTTCCTCTGCCTTTTCTAAATCCAGCTTGAACATCTGTAAGTTCTCAGTTCATGTACTGTTGAAGCCATGCTTGGAGAATTTTGAGCATTACTTTGCTAGCATGTGAGATGAGTGCAATTGTGCAGTAGTTTGAATATTCTTTGGCATTGCCTTTCTTTGGGATTGGAATGAACACTGACCTTTCCCAGTCCTGTGGCCACTGCTGAGTTCTCCAGATTTGCCGGCACACTGAGTGCAGCACTTTCACGGCATTGTCTTTTAGGAACTGAAATAGCTCAGTTGGAATCCCATCACCTCCACTAGCTTTGTTCATAGTGGTGTCTCCTAAGGTCCACTTGACTTTGGATTCCAGGATATCTGGCTCTAGGTGAGTGATCACACCACTGGAGTTATTTGGGTCATTAAGATCTTTTTATTATAGTTCTTCTGTGTATTCTTGCCACCTTTTCTTAATATCTTTGGCTTCTGTTAGGTATCATTGTCAATTTACAAATTTTTTAAAACTGAGGCATTGTCATTATGGTTATAATGTGTGCCAGAAGCAAAGCGTATATAAAAAATTAAAAATTTCATGATTCCCATATGGATAGTTTTTCCACCAAATTAAGCTGTTAATAAATAAAGCTCTAATGTTCTTATAATGATGCTTTCATATTGATGTTCTCATCCTCTTTTGAGTACTAATTGGTTTTTAAATTGGAAAACAAATTAAGAATTGTAATTTTGAGTAAGCATATTCTTGTCACAAAAAAAGGGAAAGTTGGTTATGATTCCCTAAGTATCATTTACAGAATTTCAAGTAGACCATTTCTTTAAAGTTATATATACAAAGGGAGCATCTCTGAGGAAAGCTGTTTAAATTTGACTGTGTTCTGCAATGCTCCTGAGGTTAAAATAATCTATTTCATCCTCTGTGAAATATATGAATAAATGAAACATGTATTTCCCTCACTGATAAAAAAGATACATCCTAAAACAAAGATGGCACTTTGGAAAATACAAATATTAATCATAGATAACAGGCCACAGAAATAACTTCATTAGTGGACTTCCTGTAACAAATCTACTTTCTAGAACATAACCACTTCATATCCTTTTGAAGACTCAAAAATGATTTTGAATATGATATCACTGGAGACCCATAGGGGGAATATTGTGTATTGCATATATATAGTACAGTGAAGCCACTCAACACCTATTCTTGTTCCTTACACTTTTAATCGACAGCTCCCAATCTTCTGAAATGAAAAATAATCACAAGCAGTTTCCAGATGGTTTTATAAACTATGAAACATCTATGGCCAAAATCGATATAGGCTGAAACATTAAATAAATTTTAATGACATCTGACCTTTCTGTTTGGAAGGTTAACTTCAAAATGAACTCTCTATTCAGAAAAATACTTGGCATCAGCAAATGCAGAATCTAGAATATATACATTTATTTCAGAGTTATAAATTAAGTAGCTGTTGAGTTGTTGTTTTTTTTTTCTGCTTGTTAAACCTAAACTTGTATTTCTTTTTTTTTAAACCTAAACTTGTATTTCTTATACCTGCTATATTTAGGCATACTATTCACCCCAGATGTTTTGGGAATTTTCAGTCTATAAAAAGTCTATTATGAGAAGAATTATTTATTTTCCCCCTGGCTTTTCCATACTGAGTACTTTAACAAAATGGCTAAATCATGCAGGTATTCGCCATTTCCACATTCATCATGAGGAACACAATAATTGTTGGACTGCCAGGTCTGTTCTGTCATTACTTTCAGCATAAAATTCTAAATGAGATTAAAATGAGGGGGAGCTCCTGATTCAAAATTGTGTTTCCTTTTCATGTGTTAATAAAAAGGGCAGCATTAAATCAATAAAGATCAAAGGATCTTCCTCTGATGCATGCAGTCAGTGCTCATGAAATAGGAAGAAACAGATTTCAACTTTATGAAAAGGTACATTTCAATTGAAATCCATCCTCACAAGGATGAATCATCTATCTTTCCATCATGTTCTGAAAGTGGAGATGCTCTCTGGTTTTTCTTATTAGTTCAGAAACACATAGAAACCACTTTTGTTTCTGTTTTTGGCAAGCTAGCTGAGATATAAACATTTTAAAAGATCAGAATTTTACAAGCCACATTTTTTTCCCCTTAAATTTCAGGCCAGAAACCTAAATAAACAATGATGTTGTACGGCTATACAAAATCGAAGTCAGCATTTTCACAAGTATTACCTGAAAACAAAGTTTTCTTGAAATGCTGTTTAAGAAAAAAAAAAAAGTTATCCTTCAGTGAAGATCTCTTTCACCATGATTTCATACAGGGTTTTTAGAAAGTTTAGTAAGCATAGCACAGTTTTATCTTTCTGGTATCAACATTCAAAGGAACTCATGATCCATTTAACACTTCAGAAAACACACCAGATAAACTGTAGGCTTAAGCAACAAAGTTCAAAGATCAAAATTTAAACAGAATATCTTTAGACTATTCCTTTAAAATATCCAACTGATCTTGGATTTAAAAAAAAGACAATTTGACAGTACTTACCTAAAAACGAAGTCAGATTTATCGATTTCAGCTCCACAGAGAGACTGATTCAGAATACCCCCGTTTCCAACCACTGCACACTGATTAAAAGAGTATCCCACAAAAGGCTGAAACTTTCAAGAGAAAGGGAAAAATTGCCATAAATATCTTTAGTTTTAGAACCATAAACATCATCAGCTTAATTCAAGTAGCTGAAGTTTTACATATACTAAGGAAAGAAAAAGAACAATAAGCAATACCATAGCATGTGAATCAACTTCTGACTAATCATAAGATATCCTATAGGAGTTCCCTGGTGGTCAGGGAATACGGCCTCGATCCCTGCTGGGAAGATTCCACTTGGCATGGAGCAACTAAGCCTCTGCACCACAACTACTGAAGCCTGCGCCCTCTAGAGTCTGTGAGCTGTAACTACTGAAGCCCGTGAGCCCGGAGCCTGTGCCGCACAACACAAGCCGCAATGGGAAGCCCGTGCATCACTAGAGGGTAGTCCCCACTTGCCGTAACTAGAGAAAGCCAGGGCAAAACAATGAAGATACACAGCATAGCCAAAATAAATAAATTAATTGATTAAAAAAAAAGAAATCCTGTAAACCTGTTTTATTTTTCTTGAGAAGAATACATAGCGTATCATATACAATATAATGTAAAAATACTAAATATAATACATTTGCTTTTAAAATGTACTTTATTTTATGTCCCATAACTAAGTAAATAAATTGAGGATGACAAAATTTCACATGGGTCTTTCCGACAAACAGCCAAAATTTTCAGCCAAAAATAAAGCAATTATAAAGTTGCATTTAAATTCTCTACTCTTGGCCATAAAATTAACAGTTGATTTAACAAAAGTTCTCTGTGCTTCTTAAATAGTGAGATCTTCAAGCTCAGTGATGACAGGAAATTTACACCTGCTGTCTCCATAAATGATCAGACACAGTGCTTTGAGGAAGTCTAGTCACTCTGTGCTGATTTATTTCAAATTCATTTCCAAGACCAGAACCATTTTTGTTTCCTCCAAGGATCCAACTGGCCAATCCCCAAAGACCCTTCACTATGACCAAATCCTTCACAGTCTGAAAATAACTGGTCAACTGGACAGGGTTGTTGGCCTTTGCTGGTCACTTTTCTGGAAGTCATGCTGTGACCTTAATCAGCAGCAAGGATGTCAGCACAGACTTCCACAATACAAGGTCCTGATTCACCTGTTTTGTCTCTAGAATGTGAACGTAGGTACTTAAGGGGCAGGGAGTATTTTATTACTTTTCATTCCCCCTCATCTTTCACTGCACTTGCCCAGAGGAACATCACTTCTCAATGAGTGACTGCTGGCCCAGTGGCCACCTGGTTATAATCCTGTGTCAGGTTGGAACCCAGCTGTCCCAGCTTATGGGAACCAACTGGGAAATATTCAGGAATTTTGTCAGCTGGTTGTAAACCAGTGGTGAATTATAATCACCACAATGGGGGTATTTACACTGCTGCTGTCAGGGAACCCTCCTGTCTGGTGTACAAGCACACCCCTGGACCAGTGTGCTTCTGAGCTGCCCTACAGACCCTGAGTCACCTGACTGCCTGTGCTGATGCTGCATTGGGAGATGCCAAACAAGTGATGAGAACTATGTTTCAGCACATCTGGATTGTCCCTAAAAATGAAAAATCATATTGTGCTTCTTATGTGAAAAGCACTTTTCTGAGTTGTAACTTAACACATAGAATCCATACAACAGCCTTATGAGCATTTTACAAAGAAGATGGAGGCACAAGTTAAGCAATGGCTAGAGTGCTCGCTTCGGCAGCACATATACTAAAACTGGAACGATACAGAGAAGAAAAGATGGTAACAATAACCCTATATGCAAAAGAGACACAGATGTACAGAACAGACTTTTGGACTCTGTGGGAGAAGGCGAGGGTGGGATGTTCTGAGAGAACAGCATTGAAACAAGTATGCTATCAAGGGTGAAACAGATCACCAGCCCAGGCTGGATGCATGAGACGGGGGCTCAGGGCTGGTGCAATGGGAAGACCCAGAGGGATGGGATGGGGAGGGAGGTGGGAGTGGGGATCGGGATGGAGAACACATGTAAATCCATGGTTGATTCATGTCAATGTATGGCAAAAACCACTACAATACTGTAAAGTAATTAGCCTCCAACTAATAAAAATAAATGGGGGAAAAAAAAAAAGTAATGGCTAGAGCACAGCAGAGCTGGGATTCAAGCCCAGGCAGTTTGTTTCATAGTCCACTGTCATCTTACAGATGCTCTCATTCAAGGGGTAAGGGTTAACTTAAGCACGTGCCTTGGGGCTTCCCTGATGGGTCAGTGGTTAAGAACCCACACTTTCATTGCAGAGGGTATGGGTTCAGTCCCTGGCTGGGGAACTAAGATGCCACATGCTGCTTGGCATGGTCAAACAATTAATTAAAACACATTTTTTAAAAATGACATGCCTTATTTCCCTGTGTGGCTTTGATGCCCAGCAGAATGCCTGGCTCTTTAATGAATGGTTCTCACATACCTCTGACTATTGCAAGTCACTGAACTTCTATTAACAGCTGGAGATGTTTTCAGACAGTGTTTACTAAACAATACCACAGTAAATTCTGAACTTTACAGATAGGATGGAATGTAAATAGGCTCTTTATGGTACAATAGAAGAGATTACTGAGAGAAACCTATCTCCAATTAAGCACTTAATATAATGAATATTTTTCTCTGGTTTCTTGGTCAACTAGGAAGAAAAAATCCATACGTTTTGAGATCTTACGTTCAGTAGGAGATTAAATAAATGAAAATTTCAATGTCCCTTAAACCTCCTAATAAAATGCAACTTTGGGCAACTAAACAGTCTACTTGTTGCTCATTCCAATTGTCAACCAAATTTGGGGACTTCCCTGGTGGTCCAGTGATTACTTCCACTGCAGGTGGGCATGGGTTTGATCCCTGGCCAGGGAACTGAGATCCTGCATGCCTTTGCAGTGTGACCAAAAGTAAGTAAAATAAAATGAAATGGAGACACACACACACAAAAAAGAAAACCAACTTTGTTGTTTCTTTTCAAGTTACTTGGCAGTTTTTGGAGAAAGTGACTTTACAACATTTCATCAAAAGCATCTAACACTGCGATTTGCTCACTGTGCCTGGCAGAAGAGAGCAGGGTGGGCGTGTGGAAAGCAACTCTGGATGCTGTGTCCACGGACAGGATGTTGAAGAAACACAGAAAAGTGAGTTCACTTTGCAGTTGTTACTGTATTAACTTCGGAATTTCCTCCCCTCAGTATTAAAAAGTCAGCATCAATTTGGAAAATGGATGGTGTTGTTAATCTCATCCAGAATTATTAAGCTTATGTTAAGTCATTCTTTTCAAGGTGCCAATCAGAAGCAAAACATACCTGCTGTCCCTCTATTCTGGCCAGCCTACAGCAAGGAAAACACTAGAAAAAATGGCATGGGTGAAAGAGTTGCTCCCTGTGGACCTCCCCAAGGCCTTCTCTGATAAGGGATATAAATATTCTTTGAAAATGAAAGTGTCAGTCACTCAGTCGTGTCCGACTCTCTGTGACCCCAAAGACTGTAGCCCTCCAGGCTCCTCTGTCCATGGAATTCTCCAGGCGAGAATACTGGAGTGGTTTGCCATTCCTTTCTCCAGGGGATCTTCCTGACCCAGGGATCAAACCTGGGTCTTCTATAATGTAGGCAGATTCTTGACCACTGAGCCATCTTTAGTTGCTATCATTTTAGCTATTGGTAATTTCAGTGAATCATGAGGGGATTTTCAGAATGCTGTATGAATTGGTCCCCATTCCCTTCTAGAAAATGTGCAATATTTTTTCTCTAACATTTTATATTGATTTTGTTCATTCCCAGAAAACTATACTTCCCTTTAATTGTAATATTTTTGGAAAAAACTGGAACAACTTACATGACAATAAAACATCAAAAGAAGTAAAATGTCCAACATAATGGAATTAATTGTAAGAACTGAGTATTCTACAGTTGGTAAACTGCATATATAGTGATCCCATTTTGACCACTGATGTGGCCTAACTGCTTTTCATCAAATCATAAAAATATGTCTGAAAGTATAGTTTATTAGCAGTGGGATATTCTTCATGAGAAAAATCTCCCCCAAGTTTGGATTTATATTGTAATGACAATGTATCATTACTTAGTTTAATAAACGAAAATATAATGAATGCATCTATGCACTGGGAAACGTTCTAGGAACTTGGGATACATCAGTGAACACAATAGATAAAAAACCCTGACTAGGAAAAAAAGGATAAAAATTATCTTTTCTACTATTGATTTCATTGTTATATTTTCATTCTTATCTGTCGTTCCTTCATATCTAACTATATCACTTTCACCATTTGTTTTTATGGTCATCTTTGTCAATTTGAATTTCTTAATTATGTATATTTTAAATCTTTCTCAGATTGCTTCCCACAAACTAAATTCATCTTAAATTTTAAAATTTTAAATTAAAAAAAAAAATCCCTGTCTAGTGGAAGCGATGTTTACTAACCAGGAATTCTAATGTATTTACTTCCCAAAGATTTCTTTGTGAAAAAATTGAGTTAGTCACCAAAACCAAGTGGAAAAATCAGCTAAAAAATGGTTATCTCCCCAAGTCCTGGTAATTACTATGCAGAAAGCCCAATACTTCGTCTCATACAAGAATGAGTCATGAAGACTCAAGGGCTAGAAGAGTCTACTGCTGAAAATGGACCACCATACGTATCTTACACATCAGAGTGTGGCATTTTAATGAATCAGCTCCTCCATTTTTACATCTTCATCTGAGACAATGTTCACCTTAAATGGTGACACAAAGAAACCACAAGAAATTTTCACTCACCACTGGCAACATATCAAAAATGTTTTCTCTAATTTGGATTTTGCTTTTACTTTCCACCTCATAGGTCATGTTGGTCCCAATGGGAGTGTTGTTTTGAGAAACAATGAAGTTTTGAACAGCATCACAACAGGAAGCGAGTTTTGCCCTGCGAAGGATAAGGAGAGAAGTGAGTCAAGGATTAAGATTAAGAAATCCAAAATAGAGATGAGGATGGAAAATGCAGAAGAGAATTTTGCCATATCGACTTTCAGAGAGAAGGTACCTCATTCACAAGGATGACATTTTTATCTCATTCCATTCTAACTGGCCCTGGATGGGGCAAGGATAAAATAGCAAAGAACACTAAAGTACGTCCACTCAGGTAGGGAGTGAGTCACCCATAGGAAATACTGAGTATATAATGGTTTACATATAAAGACTTGGGACTTCTCTGGTGGCCCAGTGGTTAAGAATCCACCTGCCAATGCACTGAACACGGACTCAAGCCCTGCTCCAGGAAGATCCCACATGCCGTAGAACAACTAAGTCCGTGTGCCACAACTATTGAGCTGTGCTCTAGAATCTGGGAGCCACAACTACTGAGCCCATGTGCCCTAGAGCCCATGCTCTGCAACAAAAGAAACCACCACAATGAGAAGTCCGGGCAACTCAACTAGAGAGTAACTCCCGCTTGCCTCAACACAGCAACAAAGACCCAGCGCTGCCAAAAATAAATAAATAAGGAAATAAATATAAAGACTTCTTTCTCATGATAATGTTGTAATAACAAAAAGACAATGACAGAATAGTTTCTAATTATTTTATTAAAAAGTATAGAAATCAAATTAAGACCAGTATCACACACTATCACCAAAGCAATATGTAATCATTTTTTATACGATAACTTCAACAAAGAGAATCACTTCAACAGTGATTTTTTTCAAGTTTCACTGAAGTACAATCCACAAATTCAGGGAATCCCCTGGTGGTCCAGTGGTTAGGCCACTATGGCAGAGGGCCTGGGTTCAATCTCTTGGTCAGGGAACTAAGATCCTGCAACCCATGCAGTGTGGCAAAAAAAAAAAAAAAAAAAAAAATTAACAAATGCAAATTGTTTATGTTCATGTTTTCATACTCACACATATTGTATAGTCATCACCATAATCAAACTAATCAACATATCCCATCACTCCACACAGTCATCTTTCTTTTTTTTTTATGGTAAGAATACTTGAGATTTACCTTCTTAGCAAATTGCAAGTATACAATACAGTACAGCTAACCATAACTGCACTGATGCACATTAACAGGGTGAATTTTTAAGTGAGGCGAATTTAAAGCTGCCATTCTTTAGAGAAAGTTTAGTGTAATTAGAGCCAAGCAATGTCTGTTAACTATTCCAGTGGAGTGACACCTTACTGCCAGAATGCAGACCCAGAAAGGTCCTTCCAGGGACCATCCGAGTTTACCCCCAACTTCTGGCAGGTGAATCCAGAACCACTCAGAATTTACATTTTGCAAGTGTAATTCTCCAGAGATGTAGATTCCATATAATCTCTTGATCGTAATTTCACAACCTTGAAGTCAAGAGACTGTCATTTGCACAACTGAACACTCTTCTCTTAAATCCACTTCTCTGGTTAGTTTCTCACAGAATCTTTCCACAAAAACACTTCATGTAAATGAAAATGGTAACCATCAAGCAAAGCTTGAACTTTTTCAATCTTGATGCATTTAGAGAATTTCCTCTTCTCTCAGATTTTTTTCATAAGACCAGTTTTTCACTAAAGTCATCTTGTTCATCTTTAAACATTTACATGTTTCTCTGTTTACTTAAAAATATATATTATAGTTGGGTCCTATCATAGCACAAGGAACAGTGAATACTTAGTGGGTATTGATACCCTAGATTCCCAACTGGTTCTTCTACACTGAACATGTTTAAATTGGTTTTTGGTCCTGAAGGGTATACTTTTATATATGTTCCTACTGAACTTGGTTCTTTTGAAAAAAATACAACACTCTGGTCTACCATGGTCATTTAAAAAAATATTTATTCATTTATTTGGCTGTGTCAGGTCTTAGTTGCAGTACATGGTATCCTTGGTTGTGGCATGTGGGATCTTAGTTCCTGACCAGGGATGGGATCGAACCTGTGTCCCCTGAAGTGCAAAGTGAATTCTTAACCACTGGACCACCAGGGAAGTCCTATTCATTTTGAATTACATTCCAGTCACCTTGGATTCCAATAATTTTCAGGGTATGAAAATTTCAGTGCTATGATATTATTTGAACTGTAAAAATCAAGATTTTTCAAGTTAGTTCTTATAAGTTAGCTTATGTTATTAAAATAGCATCCCTTTCTGTATTTCAGAACCTACTATTTCTAAAAGTGAGATCGCAGAGAACAACAAAAGAAAAAATTGAAAATGAAATGATGTGTCATCAAAAACATGATATTAAGTATTTTTAATTATAAATTTAATTTTGTAACAATTCATATGACATACTGAAAACGCAGAAATCCTTATGTGTTTATAATTTTAAGTATCTCTTACAAAGGATGTTGAGAAAGGCAGTGGAACAGATTCTCAAGTACTGTCTACAAGTAATTTAATTTCTCTAAGGATATCTGGTGCTTGAAAGAATATTGCATCACACACACACAAAAGCACTAAGCAGAGTACCCTTTGTGGGATTTTAAATAGTTTTTTTCTGGGAGTTCCCTGGTGGGTTACCGGTTAGGATTCAGTGCCTTCAATGCTGTGGCCTGGGTTCAATCCTTGGTCAGGGAACTGAGATACTACAAGCCATATGGTGCAGCCAAAAAAAATTTTTTTTAATTTTCTGAAATTATATTCTCAATTATAAAATTTTCAAATCCACGGGAAATTTGCAAGAACTGGACAATGTGCATTTGAATAATGACCAGACAGACTCCACAAGTAATTTTTTTTTTTACTGTATTTGCCTTAATGTATATTCACCCATCAATTCACTTTTGCTGTTACAGTTATTACAATTCAAAGTAAATTAAAGGTATCAGTAGACTTCACCCCAAAATAATTCAGCATGTATATCATTATTATGTATTTGGGGGTAGAATTTACATACAATAAAATCCCAAATGTATTCAATGAGTTTTGAGAAGTGCAGAGACCCCTGTAACCCAATCCTCTATCAAGATATAGAATATTACCAACTCTACCAAACAATTCCTCAAACTCTTCCAAGTCCACGTCCAGCCCAACACCCCTTCCAGGCAACCCCATTCATGATCTTTTTCTTTTTTACCAAGCAGTTTTGCCAGTTCCAGAATTTGTATAAGCATAATCATATTAATACAACATTTTAAATCAACTGTACTCTAATAAAAATTTTTGTGTTTAATTAATTTTAAATATCATATATATATATACACACTTTTGTGTAAGGCTTCTTTGACTTGGTATAAATGTTTCTGCCATTCATGTATGCTGCTGTATATGTTGGTAACTTGTCCCTCTTTATTGCTGGAGTCATGTTCCATTGTCTGAATGTACCAGAATCGATTTAGCCATTCCCTTCTTGCACTTTTAAGGAAATCACTATCAAAAATCAATGTTAACTTTGTTGTGCAGCAGAAACTACAATAGCACAACATTGTAAAGCAATTATATTCCAATGAAAAAATAAAAATAAAAAAGAGGGGGAAAAAGTCAATGTTAAACACCTAAATACTCATAATAACTTCCCAGGAAAAACATCAGAATAATTATCCAAAATGTCATTTTTGTAGCCTATGTTGGGTCACTTACTAATGGGACACTTTAAGCCTTTATAGTCAATGGCAGAATTATAAATTTATGCTCTTTGTCATTTCCCAGTTCGTCCACAAGGTAAAGATCCCTGTAACAGCCAGTGCTAGTATAGAGCTGAGATGCTTAGAACAAACAAAACAAAATACAATTTTATTTCTGTTATTCCATTTTCCATCATTCCTAAAAACAAAGTCAATTCTAATCCTTGGTGACTCCAAAGTCAACAAGATGCACTCACAATAATGAGCATAGCAATTTCCCCCTTTGTGCATAAAAAGAACAAAAGACATTAAGAAAAAAAGGACACTGATGGTATTACCTGGATGTGATGGTGAATTTCATCGGTCAACTTAACTGAGCCAAGTTGCTCAGAGAACTGGCAAAACTATTTTGGGGGGTGTCTGTGAGAGTGTTTCAGAAATGGATTAACATTTGAACCTGTAGACAAAGTCAAAAAGCTCACCATTTCCAATGCATAGTAAATGTCCAGCCAGATCGGCATTCACAAACCCATCCTTATAAAGCACTGTACTTTCCAGAGCCACTGCATATTTAGTATGACATCTGATCCCCACAAAAACCAAGAATGTAGAACATATAATTATTCCTATTTTAGAGATGAGAAAACAGGAGTTGAGACTTTACTGTGATAGGACTGAGGTTGTTACCTTACTTTAACTTACATTTTCTGACATTCATTTCTCTGTAATTTACATTAGAGTACATTGGGCGGGTAATGCTTGACTTTGAGCTTTTTCCGTTAGGATGCTTTCCAGAATGGCACCAAACAACATAGTGGCTCCCAAAATAATGCTGGTAGCACCTCGCTGACAACCTGTCCAGACACAACTCAAAGGCTGCAAAAAATTTTACATGTGAATGCTTCAAACCCTCTATATTACTGAGACATTCAAGGTTCTTGTTTTACACAGAGGGTGCTCATGGTCCCCGATGGACAGGATCAAGGCTTTCAAGTGGTCCAGACACTGTGTCCCAAAATTTAATGGAAAAGAAACCCTGGCTTGATGATGATCTAATCCTGCTCTGTCATGCTTTCAGCAACTTTATCCACACAATCCAGTTCTGAAAAGAAATCTACTCCCTTCCACCTCCAGGAAAAGACTGGAGACCCTCTATACTACACAGATTTCCAAATCTAGAAACAGCTTACTTCCTTTCATAGTGCTTCACTCTTGAGAGAATCGATTCCTAGGCAAGTTGATAAGAAGTCCAGGATCCCTGAGGAGAAGAAAGGGTTCCTGGGCTCTTGAGGAGGAGATTGGGATCTGGAGTTCTCAAGGAAGAGAAATGGACAATTTTTTTTTTCTTTAAGCCTAGAACTGATGATTGTAAAACAAAACAACTC